CAAGAAGCCCTATCCTGATCTAATACATAAAAAACCTGAAGAAGATGTTACTGCTCACGGATATAAAAAATATCCGCGGTCACTATGCTCATCAAAAATTCTACGTATACAACCAGTCACCCGTGCCGATTCAGACCTTTCGTCCTGCGACATGATTGAGTGACCGGAGGAACATAAATGCATGCGACTCACACAATAGATGTGAAGAATCATCACAGATCAGATCATCGATGCTATACTGGAGTAGGAAAAGTTATCGTGAAGACTTTCATCAAGTAGATACCACAGTAGAATCTCATAGTGGAAATGAAGACCGTGAAAAATTTTCTGAAAAACATAAAACATTTTGTTTCTAAAGATAGTTATTTGTCAAAATTTGAATTTTAATAACGATAAAAATTGGGACTAAGTAATATGAAATATTTTTATTTTATAATTATAATTTTTACATTTGACTTTAATAGAAACTACAGAAACTATAGAATAGAATTAGAAAATAGAATTCAAGTACAAGAGGAAGTACTTACATTTTTAGCTTTTGAAACATCGTAAGATCCTTAAAAGACGAGGGAAAGTGGAGAGTGTAGATCTGTAACAAAGCATTAAACATTAGAATTTATATTTAAAAGCAAAGCAGAATCTTAAGTTGGAGAAGAATGAAAGATTCTTACATTCTTGGCTTTAGAGCCACCGTTGGATTTTCCCCCCAAAAATTAATGCTAATGTGAAGCATCTATAATAAAACGTCAAACATTATACTTTGTTGTTAAATTTGAAAAATTGAATAAATTGAAGTACAATATATAAAACTACTTACGATCTTGATCTCCTGGAGAGGCCTTATCTTCTTGAACACTGACTCTAATACCGAAGAATATTGAACAAGAAAAAATATAAAAAAAGAATAAAATAATAAAATAATAAAAGACTATCAGCGCGCGCGTTTGAGTAACAATTGACAGACTCACTGACTCTAATTTCGCGAATTATAATTTAATTTAACAAGAGCCATTTTGCTCAGAAAAATGTAAAAATATTTCGCAACAAACACTGACTCTACTGACCGCATTGCGCGCGGTTACAAAAATTTTCTGAAAATAAAGCTGATTAGTAGGGGACGAGCAAAGGATACGTTTATTTAGAAAATACTGCTATTTTTCTATATAAGATTATAAGAAAATTATACTAAGAGTATACTAAAGTATTTCTCGATATTTGCAGAAATATTTGTAAAAATTGTATTCCGAATATTCGTTAATGCACATTACTAATAATAATCACGTCGCGTGTTAAAATATTTGCATAAATCAAAATTTTTATAGCTGTAAATGTATTTAAAAAATCATACACATGTGAAATTTTGCTCTGAATCGTTTAATTGCGTGTCAGCGTTCAAAAAATATATATTATAGCAAAGTATAGCATAATAAAGTACGAAAACTTTGAATTTAATATCATACAAGAATATATATCTATTTAAAAGTATATACCATTAAGCTACTATGATTTCTATCTATTCGCAATAAAACATTAATTGATTTAATATTTTCTACTTTCATCCTTGTATTTTGAATAATTACGAAATTACGTATTATGAAATGTATATTAGATATAAATTATATGCAAAATGTTATTCAAAAGGAATAAAATATTACCAACTCTTTCCACAAAAGTTCATCAAATTGTCCATTGATGATCATGATGTCTATGCATTCTATGCTATCTTTGCAATTAAGGAATAACCTGCACAACATGAAATCAAATGTCAGAATAAATTCATCAGATGAAGGTGTAAAAGTGTGTAAAAATGAAACTGATAATCAATTTCAAATTCTATTACAAATGCATACGAGACAAGCTACCGGTAACCATACAAATGAAATCGACGACTGAAGAAAGATTGTTACGAAAAGTTTCACAGCACTACACGATTTCATTGTCTTATTACTCAATTAATCATTAAACACGCACGTATTAATTAAATAACACTACTAATGCGGTATAAATAGAAGTAAAAGAATATGGATGAAGCGACGCCATCGAAGGGACGCCACCGATAGGTTAGAAAAAGTTACGAACCTAATGCGACGTAACACGTATGTTGCGATATTCGATAACCGAATGACTCCCCGCGACACGTCTCGCCAAGCAAATGAGAAAGTAGTGGTGTATGAGGTGTCCTGTCTGAACAGACGTGATAGTTAAGCCGAACATAAACATTGTGTTCCTGTTGTTTTGAATTTCGAGCTTCGAGGTCTTGTACGCCTTACTGTATGTGAGAAATGAAAAATTTTATTATATTACACAATAAAATTATTATTTCAACTATTCAATAAATACGTACATTCTTAATAAATTATTGTTAAATTTATTATTGGAATTGTTAAGAATTACGAAGGATGAATTTAAAGTATCAACAAATAACTAGAAAACGTTATAACAAAAGTAAAAATGTGTGTGTTGCAAAAGTATATAATAAAATACGAGTGTGTGTGTGTGTGTGTGTATGTGTATAATGAGTCAGTTAATTACAAGATTACAATATTTGTACTAGTTAGCATTAAAATTAAATTTTAATATACAATTATAAATAACTTTTAGCATAATATGTTCAAATGTTATGCAATATGCAATTATTTATTTAATTGTTGAAAATTATATGTAATAATTATTTGGTCAAATCTTACCTTGAATTGAAGCCAAAAATGCACATTTTTTATTAAAAATTCACAACATAAACACAAATCTGACAACTATTGATTTAAATTTTTATCTAAGAACTTCTGGATAACACTTCTTTCTGGATGATTTTTCTGGATAACATTTCCTTCTTTACAGACGCGGTGTGCTTCGTTCCGCCATTTTAACCGCCACTTTCCAGTTAAAAATCGACCGTGAGAAATATCGATATGTTCGAGAATCGTAGGAATTGTATTGCTTATTTTCATCGCTGGCGCTGTAATCGCACGTTTCGCAAGAAAAGTTAACTGGAAATGAAAAATAAAAAACATTAAATCAAATAAACAAAAATTCATGAAAAATTCTTAAAGGAAAACGAAAATATGTACACAACATGAAAAATTGTCAATACTTAAAACTGAGATATATGAAATTTTATTATATGATACAGTAAAATTATTATTTAAGCTATTAAATACGTATAATCCTTAATAAATAATGAATATATAATAAACGTTAATCATATTACAATATTTGTACTGGTTAGAATTGAAATTGAATTTTAGTATAAAATTTTAAATAACTTTTAGCATAGTATGGTCTAATTGAATGTTTATATGCCATTAATTCCTAAATTGTTGAAAATTACATGTAATAATTACATGATTAAATCTTACCTTATTGAAGCAAAAAATGCAAAAATTTTAAAAATTCAAAACACAAACACAACTCTAATAACTATTGATTTAAATTTTTACTTGAGAACTTCTGGATGATACTTCTTTTTAGACGATTTTTCTGGATAGCGTTTCCTTCTTACAGACGCCGTGTGCTTCGTTCCGCCATTTTAACCGCCACTTTCCAGTTAAAAATCGATCATGAGGAATATCGATTATCATTCGAGAATCGTAGGAAGTGTATTCCGTGTTTCACTATTGGAGCTGTAATCTTTAATTAATTTAAATTTAATAAGTACGCATTCCGCACTTACGAAATATTAACTGGGAATAAAAAATAGAAAACTATGGTCTAAATCAAATACACAAAATTCAAAAGAAATTCTTAGAAAAGCACGAATATATTCAACCACTCTGTATTCTGTTTTATTAAACAAAATTGGGAAATCTTTATTCATGCATTTTATAGGACAAATGAAACACAGTGCAGGACAGTGGAAGATCGCCAATTGGTGATGCAAATCCAAAACTTCCTGAATTAATCCTTTTAATTAATTTATTTTGCAAAAGCGTCGAATTTTTGAACATGGTGACGCCATCTATCAACTGGTACCATTACTAAAGATGTCAAAAACTTTATTACCGATATTTACCGACAGGTAATATTACCATATTCAAAAAGAACTTGCTTTAATTGCAAAAAAAAACTAATTAAGAAGATTAATTTGCAAACTTTTGGAAATGCACCATCAATTTCAGACCTTTAACTTCCTTTCATTTAATCTGCAGAATGTATGAATAAAGATTTTTAAATTTGTTTATTTATTTATAAATCAAATCTCTTTTTCAATATTTAATTTCTGGCAAATCAGATTGAAAATTAGAATTAAATTGTAACTGAAAGTATCAGCTTTGAAATGCATACGTACGTAATGCACCTGAAAATATAAAATTAATTATATTTTACAAAATTATAATAGTTCCGCCATTTCACCGCTACGTGGCGCTAGCATTTTAGTGTCCATAAATCGCGCAAATTTTAAATTTCAAAAAAAAAGAACACAGACAAATATGAGTTAAGAAGATTAATTTCTGTAATGTAATTGTTCCTTTTTAATTAGATCCTCAACTCACATCTTTAACTAAGTTTGGTAAAAATATTTTGTTACGATTTAATTGATATATATAAAGACATATATATTTGCAATTAATATAATTATTATTAGTATGTAAAACCCAATTATTAACAATTGAACGGAGATACATTCGCTTATAATCAATAAGTTCACTGTTCTAATTATTCCTTTAAGTGATAAATATATCCCAGTATTATAACTTTCTGCTTCAATTATCTGTCAGTAAAAATTTACAAAATAATAACCGGATATCTCGGTTAACGATGATTTCAAACATAACGAGGAACAGCGTTACGCTTTTCAAGAAATTACGCGCTCATTGAGGTCGATAAGTTGTCCGAGTAGCATGATTCAAGAAGCAAGAGTGCCAGTAAAGGCAGTTATCGGAGTACAGACATCATCATTCGTAACGAAAATCGCAAATCGGTCACAAATAAGTCTTAAGTTCAAAATTTCAAATATTCAAAAATATGGATCCTTCGGTGATATTTATATCGAATCTTTTGCTCTGGTCTCGTAAGTGAAATATATTTTTAATCACTTTTTGAACGAGTGAATTTTCATTCTCTTTCTCATAGGTTTATTCATCGCAATGGATGCCTTGCCAACCTTAGGTTACGTTGTAAGTTAAATTTTAAGCTGATTTAAGTCAACTGATCAAAATTTAACTTTTCAATGGAATTAATTAAAACACTTGCTCGACAGGATCGACATCGTTTAGAAACGTACGAAGACCTGTCTGGGGAGGAGGACGACCTGGACATTTTTAATAATCTTACATTCCGATTTTCCTGCGAGAACAAACCGATTGGTTTGTACGCTGATTTGGACTATGATTGTCGAATTTTCCACGCGTGTGACGACGCGGGGAATGGTTTCCCCGTCATTTGTCCAAACAACACGCTGTTCGATCAAAGGGAACGAGTCTGCAGTGACGAAGAACACACTGATTGCGAACGTGCAAGCGAATGGTATTTCAAATTTCAATAACGTTTCGACATCTCAATCAATGTTCCATTGTTAACGATGCGATAAACATTGATCCAGGTTCTATTTAAACGAGTTACCATTCTCTGTGCAAGTGACAGAAGAAAATCACACACAGTCGGAGGACGTGGAAGTGCCTTCTGTGTTGCCGCTTCTGTTGTCGTGATCAGTTATTTTTTAATATAAAAACACGTAACGGAAGGAACTGCGCGTCGCAAACACCAATCTTTGTAAAACGACCACCTCTCTTCACTCAAAAAAGAGGATTCGAGCTAGAATCCGACCGCGGGTAATCATCAGAGTATAAAGAAAATAAACCAGCAAGTGTAGTCTAGATAAATAAACGAAACGAACTGAATCCTGCGAGTCCTTGGAATTCCATCCTTGCAATCCTCTTTCCTCGATTTATTTTTCCTCGCCGGCAAGAAGCAAGCATCTTCGTGATCCTTACGTCGAAGAGTGGACGAAATCATCTATAGAAAGTGATAGATCAAATCGGGAGTGCTATTGCGAATGAAAACCAAGGGAGGGGTGGGATTCTCAAGCATGTTTTATTCTTTCGTAAACGGGGGATATTATTGCGAGAAAACTAGCGAGAATCATTGACAGTCTTACGTGCT